GGATGTTTCAAGTGGTAGAACAACACCAAAGACAGTATGCCAACAAAGGATGGAATCCTGAGTGCAAACTCCAACTCCACCAAAAATAAAAACATGGGGTTCCATAAACATAATTTTTATATTTTATGTACTATTTATTTCAAATATCGAACAATTATATACAATTTTTCCATATCTTGAAAGTTTGACTGGCATATTTTTCAACAGGAAAACAGCAAGTTGTACAAAATGCTTTTTTACGGGCTGAGTAGCAGGTCTTGGGGATCAATGTGGGACCTGGGCACTGTCCTTGAACTTTTTGTCATGGATAGTGCTTTATCAGTTGAGCCACAACACCACTTCTGGCATTTTCGTGATGAATTGAAGGTAAGATTCTCATGGACTTTCCTGCCTGGGCTGGCTTGGAACCCCAGTCCTCTGATGTCAGCCTCTGGAGTAGCTAGGATTACCGGCGTGAACTACCAGTGCCTGTTCAATATACTCTTATAGTGAGCCAATTTTATGGAAAACCATATATAATGTATGCTTATGTCCTGTATAAATACATCTTGTATATATAAACAGGCATAACAATCCACTGATACATGTCCAGATTCTGTATGCATCTAGGCCCAAATATATGAGATTAAACATTGCTATGTACATATGACCATATAAGATGATGCTAAGCAAAATGAAAATGAACCCCAAGATATGGGCAAAGAGGTTTTTCTTTGTTGATGGTCTTTTTGTTTTTGTTTTTACATTTACATTAGCAAGGTAATGAGTACATTTCCCTTTTTGTGTTTTTTAAATTTATATATATGTTTTAATTGTGAAAATACCATACAGAGGAGTTACATTTACATGGACAAGATAAGGTGTACATTTCTTCTCAAGCATTGTTGCCTCTTCTTTGTTTCCCCTTCCCCTTCCTTCCCATACTGCCCCCACCTTCCAATACCTGATCCTCCTCCCTCCACCAAAGTTGTAAAGTTCGTTTTTCGACATAATGACTTGTCCATCTCATTGTTGCAATGGGTCCACCTGTAATTTTTTTGTTTCTTTGGTATGTTCTTCCCACTATCATATATCCCCTGTTGTCAGTGTATTTGATTTTGGTTCCCTGCATCTTGTATATACTTTTTTTATAATTTTGGGAGGGTATGGGAAATGATAAAATGCTGAAACGAGGACACAGGGTAACCCACAGCAACAATGACACTTACAAGACACTGTTGGAAATGAACTTTACAACTTCTGTGGAAGGGAGGATTGGGGGAGGTGGGAGAGAGAAGGGATAGTAGGAAAATATCAAGGAATGGGTTAACAATGTTCGACAAGAACATTCCTCTTGTCTCATTACCTTTCTCATGTAATAGTAACCTCTCTGTAAAAAGCTTTACAATTAAATAAAATTAAAAATAAAATCCTGGATCAAGGGGCTTCCTTTTAGGTAAGAGTCCATCACAGATAATGAATGACGGTTCTTCTCATGTGATACATGGCAAAGTAGAAGGAAGGGAAAATTGTGTGTTAATGCACAATTGTGAAAGTTTGAAGAATGAAATGGGAGGAGTGATTTCAGTGCCCTTATTATCATTGACATCACATTTATGTTGAGTGTAAAACAATGTGTCCAAAATAGAAAAAATAGATGCAGGAAATGGTCCAATCAGTAGAGTTCTTGTGTAGGAAGAACAAAGCCGTGAATTTAAAACTTAGTACTGCCAAAAGTGAAGGAAAAACTGGTATGCTCAAACTAAATTGTATGCAGCTATGAAACATCTTAAAATGTACAATTGATGTGTATAAATAAAAATAGTAGAGAAAATGTTTATCAATATCTGGCTTTCAGTTGCAAAGATCAATTGACAAGAATACTTTGGTTTTATTTTTAGTTCATACTAACACCAAAATAAAGATGTGAACACTAACCTTAATGTTTATTCTGTCCATGTCTGTCTCATATATTTTCCTCCAGGAGGAGATATTCTGCACATTGGTTTTGTTCGTTAAATCCACTTCTCCAGATATGACAAGTGACATACCCAAGGAGTTTTCCTACCATCTCCCCTTCCCATTCCCAGTGCTTGCCGTAATGGGGTCAACATGGGACTCTAGTTTGTTTCATTGCTTCGCTGAATTTTGAACAAAGGAAGACAGTCCAAGAATGACCAAAGGCATGAAAAATAATATTTATTATGGATGATATACACAGAAAGCATTCTGACCTGTCACACGGTAATCATTTTTTGGTTTTGTCATACTAGCATATTAGTCAATCAGCATTAGAGAAGTATTGGCATGTGGCGTGGTGAATAAAACTATTATAAACCATAAGAGATTTTAGATGTGATAGTGCAATTACACAGCAATCCCTCCAAAATAGAGAACGGATCTTCCTGGATCTGTAGGGAGATTGGAGATGTGGCAGGAGAAGGAGATGAGTGATGGCTCAGAGGAGGGAACTGCAGATTGCTGCACAGCTGGAGCCAGACAGCAGAGCTCTTCTTTACACTGGAATGAAGCAGAGCTTATATGCTGGTGGCAAAGAGGCAAGCCCATTCAGAACAGGAGTGGTATCGAGGTCCTGTGGATCCACTAGAGGTTTTAGGTTGAAGTTCTGTAAAATGGTGGTTAGGAATAAAAACAGCTCCATGCGGGCCAGGCCTTCTCCAACACAAATCCGTTTCCCTGGAATTTTTGTAAAAAAAACACAAAAAACAAAAAAACCAGTCAAAGCAAGAAATGACTGCATGCATATAAATGTGAGAGTGTGAAACATTGCATTTGTAACTGGTGAAAGAATGTGTCAATGTATTGAAAGCCTTGAGTTCAAACTCCAGTAATGCAAATCTTTTTTTAAAAAAAGCAAATTTGACTGACCACTAGTCGCTCATGCCTTTATTCCTAGCCACTCAGGAGACTGTGATCTGAGGATCGTGGTTCTAAGCTAGCTCAGTCAGGAAAGCGCCCATGAGACTCTTATCTCCAATTACCCACTCCAAACTGGAAGGAGTACTGTGACTCAAGTGGTAGAGTGCTGGCCTTGAATTCAAAGAGGCTCAAGCACAGTGCCCAGGCCCTGAATTCAAGCATGACAACCAAGAAAGTTAGAAAGAAAGGAAGGAAGGAAGGAAGGAAGGAAGGAAGGAAGGAAGGAAGGAAGGAAGGAAGGAAGGAAGGAAGGAAGGAAGAAAGGAAGGAAGGAAGGAAGAAAGGAAGAAAGGAAGGAGGAGAGAGAGGGAGGGTGAGAGACGGAAAGAGAAAGAAAGAGGAAAGAAAGAAAAGAAGAAAGAGATAAAGAAAGAAAAGAAAGAAAGACAAATGAAAGAAAGAGAAAGAAAGAATGAAAGAAAGAACAAAAGAAAGAAAGAAAGAGAAAGAAAGAAGGGAAGGAAGGAAGGGAAAGAAGGAAAGGAAGAAAGGAAGGAAGAAAGGAAGGGAAAGAAGGAAAGGAAGAAAGGAAGGAAGGAAGGAAGGGAAAGAAGGAAAGGAATAAAGAAAGGAAGGGAGGAAGGAAGGGAAACTTTGAACTTTAATTAATAATAATGTGCCATTATTGATTTCCTTATTATAGTGAATGTACCATACTAATGTATAGCACAGTTAGGGGAAAAGAGGAGTAAGCATGTAAAAATTCTAGGGACTTCCTTCTCGATTTCTCTGTAAATCTAAAAACTGTTCTTGGAAAATAAAATTGACAAGGCCATACTAAAGCTACCAGCAAAAAAAAACAATGTGTCAGTGTGCCTTCAGTGAATTATCGAATGCACAGAGAGCAGGAAAGCTGTATAGATACCTGGGAATATGTAATCTTCACTAATACATTTGTTTGTTTTTTTAAATCTGAGAATGGTAGCACAGGCACACACAAACTTGTAAGTCTAACATAGGAGATAAATGCAGAAGAATCTCCAGTTGATAACCACTTTTGTCTTCTCTTCCCTCTTTTCTCTTTCTCTATGCCAGGTTGTGGGTTGCCAAATTATTATATCATTGCTCTAATATGTTCCCTGCTATAGGAAAGGATCATAATTCTGGAAGATCTTTTGGCTTCCAATTGTACTTTTTTCTTGTGGTTGAGATAAGGATTTAATACAGTCTGTCCTAAACCTTATGACCTACTCCCATTTTTCTCTTTTAGTATTATCCCTACTAATCAGAAAGGACTGTGACCATGTGTTTTGGGATTTCCTCTAAACCTTTGTACCTATAGAATAGTAAATATGTAGGAGTGCAGGACATAGACCCTTCTCATGACTCCAAGTGGAATTCATCTCATGTAAAAATAGTGGTAGGAAATACTGCTTTCCAAGTCAATTCAGAAGTCAAATCTTGACACCGTCATTAACCACCCATGTGGGGTAAGTTAGTAAAATATCTGAGCCTTATTTTCTCCTAATATTAAATGGGATGCTAATAATTCCTTCATGAAATGTTGGTGAAAAATTAAAATGAGAATAGATTAGGATTTATTACAATTTTAATCAAAATTTCATTATTTATTTATAAAAAGTTTGAGTCTCAGTTTTCAATAATACACTTTGTATGTTCTAGAGACATCTATGTTTTTCTAAGAAAACCCATTCATATTGCTCATGTGCACTGTCCCCAGAAAAATGATGAACACTTTTTGCATTTTAATATTGACAGCCCAACTGTCCATTTTATCAACCTACATAAAATTACAAAGTTTAAGTACTACATCATGAAATTACTTTTGGCTATGATACATTTCCCTACAGACATCAAGACACAGACCACATTTCATGTCCTTTCTTGTGCTCTTTGTGTCCCTTCAAGCCATAAAATCCTGCCCTCATTCAGCTTCCCAAATATCATATTCAGATTTTCACTGACTCTCAAATCATTTGAAACCATAATTTTCTCATTATTTAAAATGTTTCCCTTTGTGTAAAAAAAAGTGAATTTTTGACGACAGATCACTTCCTTTCCCCATAGTATATATATGACATATGTAAAGCAGATATCAAAGGTCAGGTTATTAGTTGGGTGCCAGTGGCTCATGTCTACAATACAGCTACTCGGAAAGCTGAGATCAGAGGATCATGATTAGAAGTGAGCCTAGGGAAAGAAAGTCCTTGAGACTCTTACATGCAATTATCCACCAAAAAGCAGAAGTACTGCTGTGGCTCAAAGTGGGAGAATGCTAGCATTGAGCAACAAAGGTCAGGAACAAGGCCCAAACCCTGATTTCAAGCCCCACAACTGACAATAAAAACAACCCCAAAACCAGACAAATAAAGAAACAAACAAAAAAGACAAAAAGTCACAGTGTCAGTAAAGGAAGGCTGCTCCCTGGACAGACACACAGCACACATACTGCAGGTGTGGGGATACAATATCCAGACACATGTCTTAGACTGAAAGAAGAGCAGAGTGCTCTGTGATCATTGTGGCATATCTATCATACATTGCTGCTATGTCCATAGGATTATTTCACAGTTTCTGCCACTGATAAGAGTAAATGTTCTGTTCTTGTGGTTCATGACTTTCTTAAAAATGTTTTACTCTGTCTTCCATCTAATATCTGTCCCTGTTGAAGTAGCTTAAGTGTCTTAAAATGTTGCTTATGCCATTTTCTGTTTAATAATCAAGTTCAAGAAAGTGACAAATGGATTAATACTCCACCCACAAATCCTCATGTCTTGTCATCTGTGATGATCTTCCCTCACTGCCCTTTGGTGTTCTTCTGTGTCTATTGGGAGAGAATCATTCCATAGAGGGGGTGACACCCAGGGGGGTGACAAATGCCACAAAAATATGTGGGAGGGACCTCTGATGAGATCATCTTTTTCATTGTGAGTGAGGGCAGTCTAAATGAGTTTAATGTTTAGGAAGACATCATTATGATATATGTAAAGAGAGAATGCCAGAATTGCTTGCTTTACCCTGTTGAACTTGGAAGAAATGCACAGAGAAACTGAGGCCTCGCTAATCTGATCAAACAGTGGAGATGCATCATGAACAGGAAAGTGCAAAGGCATTGAGAGTGCTGCTCCTAATCAGGAGCTTATGGGAAATACGCCAGCCCCAAGAAGGCTTCATGTAAGTTCCCACTGACATCCCCCCCAAAATTATCCTGAGGTATGGAAATGAAATTTTATTACCTGCTGAGAAAGGCATAAAGTAGTTACTTTTCTTAAAGTTACCACTTTCGTCCAAAAAGTGGCCAGGGTCAAACTTGTCTGGATTGGGGAATTCCTTGGGGTCATGCAGCACAGATGTCAGTGATGTCAATATGGTTGTGCCCTGGGAACAATACACACAGATAACATAAGCTAATTAGATAGATAGATAGATGGAGCTATAGATCTACATAGATTGATACATATATATATATATCTACATCTATATAAACCTATGCATATATATAAACTATACATATATGCACATATATGTAAATAGAGGCTCACACCTATAATCCTAGATACTCAGGAGGCTGAGATATGAGGACTACAGTTCAAAGACAGTTCAAGCAGGAAAGCCCATGATGCTGTTATCTCCAATTTGCCAATGTGGCTCAGAGTGGTAAACCACTTGAACAAAAAAGGTCAGGAACAGTGCTCAGGCTCTGAGTTCAAGCCGCATGACCCCCCCCCCCATTACCCTCACCAAAAAACACAGAACACAAATAGCTAAAACGGTGACAGATACAATGAGAATCACTTAGTTCAATCTTCTGGTCTATAGGTAATGAAGACTTCCAACCAATGAACTGGCTTCAGAACCAAAAAGTATCAACATAGAATGTATGGAAAAAAGGCAAGTATCTCCAAAGTTTAACAATTCTATAGCAATAGACATAAAGGATATTGAAGAAGATTAAAGCCCAAAGAACTCAAATGTATGATTTCAAGAAAAATTATTTCAAGTGAGAAAAACTCCTATGCTCCTGGATTGGAAAGATCAACATCATGAAAATGGCAATACTTCCCAAGGCTATCTACAAATTCAATGTGATACCTGTCAATATTCCATCCTCATTTTTCAAGGGAATAGAAGAGGCAATCCAAAAATTCATATGGAACAGTAAAAGACCCTGGATAGCTAAAACAATCCTCTACAGAAAGAACAGTGCTGGAGGAATATCAATACCAAATTTCAAACTCTACTACAAAGCCATAGTAATCAAAACAGCTTGGTACTGGCACAAGAACAGACCTCAGGAACAATGAAATAGAATTGAAAACCCAGAAATGAACCTACAGACCTAGAGCCATCTAATCTTTGATAAGGGAACCAAAAAATAGAATGGAAGAAAGACAGCCTCTTCAGTAAATGGTGCTGGCAAAATTGGTTAACTACTTGAAGAAAACTAAAGCTAGATCCATATATATCACCCTGCAGCAGAATCAACTCCAAATAAATCAAAGACCTCGGAGTCAAAGCAGATACCCTGAAAACATTACAGGATGGAATAGGAGACACCCTAGGACTCCTTGGCACACGCCAAAATTTTCTTAATAGAGACCCAGAAACACAACAAATCAAAGAAAGGTTGGACAACTAGGGTTGCATGAAATTGCAGAGCTTCTGTATACCAAAGGATATAGCTAGCAAGATTAATAGAAAGCCCAGGATTGGGAGAAGATGTTCATTAGCCTTACAATGGACAAGGGTCTCATATGTAAAATATACCTGGAACTCAAAAACTTAAATCCCCCAGCAACAAATTTTCCAAGAAACAACTACCCAATAAATAAGTGGGCTAAAGACTTAAAGGAAACTTCTGTGAAGAGAAAAGAAGGATGACCAATAGACACATGAAGAAATGCTCAACCTCTCTAGCCATAAAATAAATGCAAATCCAAACAACATTGAGATACCAGCTCACCCATGAACTCTAATAACAACAGATGCTGGAGGGGAAGTGGACAGAAGGGAACCGTACTGCACTGTTGGTGGGAGTGTAAACTTGTTCAACCACTTTGGAAAGTAGTATGGAGGTTCCTCAAAAGACTCCACATAGAACTCTCATATGACCCAGCAATCCCACTTTTGAGCATTTACCTAAATGTTCACAAACAAG